TCTCTTATACACATCTAGATGTGTATAAGAGACATGTATAATATAGTAATTTTATATTAAAAATAATATACTGAGTTTAATAAAAATTAAAAAGATACTATTGAAAGATAATTAATAAAACATTGAAAAAAAAAAACTGAAATTTTCATCAAAAAAAAATTTTTGTTTATGTATTTATATAAAATTGTGAAATGTAGTACTCACCGTTAGTGAAAATAAAATAAAAATTAATTATAAATTCAATATATAACATTTTAAAAAGTTCTATAAATATGCAATTAAAAACTCTTAGTATTTTAAAATAATACCAAAAATAAGCAATTTAATTATCTTATATTGTATAAAATTTTCTCAAAATTAAGCATTATAAAATTCTTACAATCTTACATCATAAAATTTTTCTATGTTGGCTAAGCACCTTGGTATCTTACATATATAAGCATTTTCTGGAGTCCTATTCAACTCTATTATATTTATGTGATATTTACTTATAATTTAAATTAACCAAATTCTTTATTTAAAAACTAGGGTGGTGTCAGGAATTAAGTTGGCATGATCTTTAATATTTTTTCAGTTATATTATTTATTGTAAGTTATGGTTTTATGTTTTTGTTTGTAATAATATAGAATATATTAAGAAAAAGAATCTGTTTATAGATTTTTTTCACTTTATTATTTATTCTCTCATCTGCTTTTTTTAAGTATCTACATTTTATATTAAGTTTGTCAGCAACATTTCCCTTTTTAACAAATTCATTAACATTAAGTTTAATACTTTTAAATAAATCATCATTATCTTATACTTGTTTTATAACGTAACCAATAAGAAAAACAGAGATTGAACTAATCAGAAGATTATCTTTTGTAAGGTTTAAATGATTACCTGCATTAGCTGTCATCTAATTTATTTTTACTTTTATTTTTTTTTTAAAAAAAAAGAATTAATAATTATTTTCATTGGGTATTATTTTTTTTTACATAAATTTTCCTGTAAACCTAACTACATCACCAGATGCAAAATCAGGAATCCATTTTGAAACTGATGAATTTTTTTGGAAAAAAGGCAATTATTTTTAAATTCATTGTTGTATTATCTTCTTTGCTCATAATACCAATAGTTTCTTTTATAATAAAATTATTACTTTCTTATTCAACAATTGAATAAATTACATAAATTAAATTGAGTTTTGCTGCCATAGTATTTATTTATTTTTTATGTAAAGAATAGATATTTTTTTTACTAATATTTTTCTTAAATGATTTTTTTTTCTTTTTTTTTTTTTTTTTTTT